CGGAAGAGCCCTGCGGGAGAGATACGGTGCAAATGGTGGGGTAAGGGGGAAACCCATCCCGTATCCGCTCCGGTTACCTCTTTGGTCACGGGGGTCTCCATGCAGCACCCTGCCAGGGTAAGCCGGAGCGCCTCACTGCCCTGGATGAAGCACTGCAGGCCTTCATACTGGATAGCACGGCTCAGCTTAGAGGGGTGGAAGGTCACAACGAAGGAGATATCCATTCCTGGGGAGATGTAACCTTCCATAGGGCTGATGGAGAAATCTGGCTTGAAGCTCTCAATGTCCCACTTAAACCTTCCCATGGAAAGTACAAGGACAGAAAGGATGGATTAGCAACTGGGAGGCTGCAAACGCAGTGTGCTCTTCCTAATCCTCTTGTGGGCTGTTCCACAGGACCTCAGACACGATGCTGGGCCACCTGGCAATAAGGCTTCTGGCTGGGCAGGACTTGCCCATCCGTAAACAATCCTTTGGGTGTATCCCTTGCTAACGTCCAGGGCCTGACTGCACAGCTCTCTGGTGGGATGAAAAAGCAGAGGGGAACTATGTGGGCAAGCTACAACTCCATCCAACCCTCACCCGCGCTCCCAGCCCTTAGAGAGGACAGGGATTTGCATTACTTGACTCCTATGTCGCCCATGTTCTGCATGACGATGCGCTGGGATGTGTAGCTCTGCCGCATCACCGCTCCAAAGCTGAGGTGTTCTTGGTCCAAGATCACACAGATGCCCTGGCAGGAGCCCCGCACCATGAAGAGGGAGTGCACCAGGCCATTGCACTCCAACATCACTTCTTCAGTGAACGGCTGAATGCGGCGTTTTGGGGAGAAGGTCACCTCCACTTTACAGGTGTCTCCCTTGGGCTTCAGATTTAGTTCGTTGGTTGGGTTCAAGCAGAGAACCTGCCCAAAGAAATGAGTGGAGACTACTTCATCTGGCAACCGAACTGTGAATCCTCCATCGCTAGAGTCAGAGCAGAGTCTTCCAATTCCTGCTCTGCCCCCACCAACATTGCCCCAATCCCACTCACTCCCTCGTATGCATTCCTAGGTACCAAAGGCCTTCTCCTGTGACGTGTCCATCTGGCCACAGCAAGCTGAACTATGTCTTCTAAAGTAATTTCATGCCAGCTCCAAGCCGTAACTCTTAAAGATTAATTTATCTCCCTTGCCTTTCCAGATGTAAAATACACGGCCACATCCTAATGCATGTGTCTAAAACGGGTTAGAGGAATTGTACCTTCTTCTCACTTCTGGCTACGAGGGGAGTCCTGACACCTCGCTCAGACGAGGCATTCGCACTGTCAGTGTCTGCTGGCAGAGGAGTCCCCGCAGGGAGGACAGGACAGCATCCAGGCAGCCAGGACAGCACACAATTGTCATGAGCTACTCGCTCCTGCCCAGAGCAGCTGATAGCTACCTGCAGGCACACCAAACCGCTCTCCAATGAACCAAGGGGCCTTACCCCAGCTTCTTGCAGCTCTGGCACAGTGGACATGAGACTGAGCTTAAAAGTGAGAGGGGCAGCACTGTTGTTTGCTATGATGACAATCTTCTTCACCGTTTGTCCGATGGAGAGGGCTCCCAGCTTCACCACCTTTCCTTGTGGTTCCACAACATCAACCTGAGACAGGAGGGATTAGTAAAAAGTGAAAGAAAAGAACAACACATGGTGCTGGGGAAGAGATGAGGTAAACAAGAGAGAAAGCCACACTGGCTGCCTCCCACCTGGGTTTTAGGATCTGGATTTCATCTCACCTTCACTTCCATGCCCCGTCCTCGGACCTCAACAGTCTGCTGGCAGAGTCCGTTGATTTCAAAAGGGATGAGCTCACGGTAAGATGCAGCCTCTCGGGGATAGAAGGTGATGGGCACCTCCACTGTCCCTCCTGGGGCTAGGACGTGGCCTGGGAAGTCCACCTCCAGGTGCACGGTGCTGGCGAACAAGCAGTTCAAACTGGCAGAAAGCACAGCGAAGAGGTGCAGAGGCGTCACCAGGCTGTGAGTGCTCAGATGACAATGTCGGGGCTACCTGAAGCTCCCCTGGCTCCTCTCCCTGCATCCGCAGGATTTCACCCACCGGGGTCAGGAGGGCACGGAGCAGGCACGTGCTAAGCAAGTGCCGAAGGAGCATGTGGAGAAGGCCTACCTCACATCTTTGTCTGCCTTGTTTGTGATGATGAGGGTCTGCCGGGCAGGTGGCATGCCAGCGCGGTAGATGAAGCAGGCTCCAAAGTTGAGTCTGGTGGTAGAGAAGTGGACCATGGGCACTACCACAGTGGCCAGGAACACGCAGGTAAACGTGGGACCCTTGCTGATCTGGTGGGGTGAAAGACAGCATTAGCCAGCTGAAGAGATGCAAATTACAACCGCAAACTCCCGAGGCAGCTGAGGAAGAGGATGGGGTACAGCTGGCTGCAGCGACAATAAGGAAAAGCAAGCACCAAAGCACCCCAGCATGGAAATAAAAGGTGGAAGCCTTGGTCTGAGAGGGAGAGGGCTTTTGGAAAGTCACAGCCCTGCTCTGCACAGCCGTCTGTAGAGCAGTGCAGCCACACGCTGGCAGGACCCTTCTGAGCTGTGGGACCCAACTCCGCAGAGACCTGGCAAGGAGAGACAGCACGCACAGCTGGGACTCCCCCAAACTAGGGGCAGAGAAGGCCTGGGGGCTATGTCCTGCCACAAAAGTGCTTCCCAAAGCAGTTCTGGATAAGCAATTATTAAAATATTCCATTCAGAAGCTTTCAGGCTCTTTATTTTGTCAGCAGGAGCCTCTTTGCCTCATTCAGGCTCTTCAGTGATGGAGCTCACCCCTAGCCCTGGGCTCCCGCTGCCAAGCTGCTGGGTAGGGAAGGCAAATGCCCCATATTAAACGCTGGTGCCTCACCTGCAGTGTCAGCTCTATGTCCTTTAAAGAGCACATCTTCTGCGGGTGAAAAGCCAGCTGGGTCTCTGCTTTCCCCTCCGCCCGCACGGTGCCCGCCCGAGGGGTGATGGTGAGGACCTGCTTAGAGGCTGCGGGGCCGCTCAGGTCACATGAGAAGGTGACACTGAACTTGCTGTTATTGAGGATGCTGAAGATGCGCTTGACATTGTCGTTTAGCTGTACCTGCAGGGAGAAGGTGACGAGGACTATGGGTTGGAGTACACGCCAAGTGTCAACCGGCCCAGCAAGTGCTCCTTCTTAGTGTGCTCCTGCATCTTTCACATTCAGCTAATGACCTGTGTGAAAGATCAATCTACCTCGCCTTCTAGAGACCCATAAATGAAGAAAAACATTCTCTGTTGTTCAAATGTACCTGCAAAGCTCCCCGTTAAAGCCCAATCTTGCAGGGCTTCATGGGGCAAATTATTTACAGAACCGCTCACCTCCTTGAAATCAATGACGTTGATCTTCTGTGTGCTGAGCTCCATGACACGGCCATCGCTGTCCTCACACCTGACACACACGTTTGTGCTGTAGCCAGTGGCCTTGATATTCAAGGAGAGGGGTTGGGTCTTCCTCTTGACATCGCACTTGAGGTTGAAGACCAGCTCTCCTTCTAGCATTGGTGTGAAGGCCACCGTAACCGGAAACCTGGGAAAAGTGGCCCTTTTTGCTCCATTCGTTGCCTCTTTGCTTTCTTGGCCCCACAATGCTGGCTCTGTGGAGAGCAGCTGTGCAATGGCTGTGGCAAGACCCCAGCCTGGGAGAACCCAGGAGCAGCACTCTGCCCTGACGAGGCCTTCCACCATGGAGCAAGCCCTAGTGAGAGCTGTTTCGGGTACGGCAATCCCATGCCATGAAAGGCAAAGCAGCAAACCCTGAGCCAGCGCTGACCTTACTGCCCTGCCCATGTGCTACAGGACAGTGCTGGGTCTGCCTCAAACGCAGAGGAGGGCGCTCACAGGGACCCCCAATCTCTCCAATCTATACAACGAGGGAAATACTCTCTTTGCAAAGAGGAATCACAGAATCACAGTATGGTAGAGGTTGGAAGGGACCTCTGTGGGTCACCCAGTCCAACCCCCTGCCGAAGCAGGGTCACCCAGAGCAGGCTGC